TTCATTAACAGCTATTCAGTATGATATGTAAGTTACCAACTGATGTTGCTTGCATGTATAAGGAACAGTCCCCAGAATAATTATTTCTTTTCTGGAAAATGGGAATCTTAGTGACTTTTGTCTTTTAGAAATTGTTTCATCAATATTGGATGCATAGAATGTAGGTCAATGTAAGAAACTATATCCTGTGAATATTAAGTATGAAGAAAATTTAAACCAATCTACTTTACAATACCCACAGGTGATAGCGCGGGAGGCAACCTCATAACCGGCCTCACCATTAAGTGTCTGGAGTTAGGGATTCGGCCACCAGATGGTCTCTTCCTTGCCTATACTCCGTTTGTATTTGAGTTGGTCCCATCGCCTGCCAGGCTACTTGCTGTCATGGACCCTATGCTGCCTCTGGGATTTGCTCTTCGGTGTCTAAAAGGTAGTAACTGTCAGTTGTCCTTAAATTGATAATTGTGTGAACTTCTTTTGATTATTTTCCCTAGTACCTTTATTATTATTATTATTATTTTTAATGATGATGGTGATGTGATGATGATGATTATATTCATATTCATAGTCATATTTATTTTTATCACCATCATTTTACTATACCAACACACCACCTAAACCGCATCCACCATCATACACTACCACTGCTATTATTACTACCACCACCACTATCACTACCATCACCACATTCATGCCATGGCCACCATTACTTTACCACTATTATCACTGACACCACAATCACTGCCACTACCACTGTTACCACCATTACCACTACCACTGCTATTGTTACCACTACAACCACCATCATGCCACAACCACCATTATGTTACCACTACTATCACTACTACCATCACCCACCACTACCATCTACTGCCAACTCTACAAGGTAAAAGATACCCTTCTTAAATCTTACCTACTAACACCCTATTACATTTTGATAAAGAATGTCTATTATCAAAGGAATATGTTTCAGCTTATGCTGGTGTGCCAAGTGGAGGAACATCACTAGCAACCACTCCAGGTGATGCTACCATATCAACACCACCCCTGCATACCCCAAAGCTCCCCGCTACACCAGAGCATTGCGAGGGAACCCCCGAAATGGCACCAGCAACACTAGATGCAGCTTTAGAAGTACCCCAGGGCAGAGTCTCTGACACCCAGAGTGACAACGAGTCATTTGTAGAGGTTTCAGAGAGCGATGTTAAAGAAGCTGAATCCTTAGTCAAGAGCCCTTCATTTGTTTCTGAGCCAGGCTCGGATACCCTTACGACTGTCTCACTCACGTCCGAGGCCTCCAAAATGGACGATTCCTCAACAAGGAAAAGCAATGGCAATGGAAGTCAGAAACCGCAGGAGAAGGAAGAGAGATCCAGAAGATATGTAACAGAATTTTTAGAAAAATATGTTCTGGACTCACGTACAGATAAGCAGGTAAGATCTGGTATGTCTTATACCCAATGTGTATTCATAGATGATTTAAGGTTTAAGATGAATGATCCATCACAGACTTTGTGAATATGATTTCTTATCAGAAGATATCACTTTAACTGGTATCAACAAATTGCATGTATAAAATTTTGATTTGAAATGTTTAGTCTAGAATTAATTTTACTTAAAAAAAAGTCAATTAATTTGTGTAACATTCCTTTAATGGATGAAAGGTAAAGAGTAATATACATTCCATTTTTATTGATTTTTTCTTAAATTAAGAAAAATGTTCTCCTTATCTGACACTTCATTATCTAATTATTTCTGGGGAATACATCCCAGTTCAATGACTGGGCCTGCCTGTACACTGCTGTTGAGAATTTTACATTCCTAATTCTGTCAGGGTCGCAGAGTCCCCATCCTTCGCACAGGAAGTGAGGAAAGTGAACAGGATGATGAAACTGTCCTATTTGAGGCCCCTGGTGTAGGTGCAGGAATTACAGCCAAGCTAGGAAGAGCTAAAGATGCTGTAGTTAGTGGTATATCTGCTGGTCTCACATCCTTTGGGCTCAAGAGAAAAGAAAGTGCCTCGTCTCCATCATCGCCAACTCAACCATTCCCCAAAGCTGTTGCTGAAAAACGGTAAGTAAGAATTTTTATGCTGTAGGGATGAATGGTTAGCCTATTGTTAACCCGTTGGAACCGATTGTGTAACGGAAATTATGATGAAAAAAATACAGGCAGTAGGTTACGTAAGTAGCCAATATCCCGGGTGTGCAGCGTGTAGGCTGGGCGCACACGAACACTCATGAGCGGTGACATAATTTTCAATTTTGTATAATACAACCTGTGCTGCTGGTCACAGTGGCTAGGAATATGGTGCTAAGCATGGAAATGGCATCCTCCCTGGAGACAGCAAGTCTTTTCTTGGCCTTTGCTTGTGATGACATATTTGCGTCACCTGGCCTGCGACCAAGATTTTTCCATGACGTGACTGTAACGTCATCCAGATTGTAGGGGTTAATCATCATTCCTTTTGAAGTTTAATTGAGTTAATGCATATATTGCAACAAGAGTACAGGATATTGAAATTGGGATTAATGCACGTTTTATCCAGGATCTTTTTTTTAGAATCTTACATTACTAACAGTGTGAAATTAGATATATTCGTTTGTGCTTGCATAGATATTTTATGTCAAAAATATTCATGTTGGATCTTTCTTCAGTGCATAACATATAAAATTGGTCTAGATAATGCAGAATAAAAACTTAAAACTGACTCCAGAAACTAAAAGGCACCTGTCTTCCCTCCCCCATAGCCTGTGCTTTTATGATCTTGAGCAATTCCATTGATATAGAATACACTCAAATGCAATATATCAACAATTATTTTCACAGTTGTTATTTCATGTATCATGATATTTTGGTAATTTCCCTAGGATTGAGGCAGATAAGTATGTTGGCCCTAATTTTAAGATCTGTCTAAAAGTGTCTGAATGATTAAGTGTTTTTGATCAATATTTAGATGTCTCTTTTGACATGTTATATATTCCTTACTGTAGTACTTACGCACACTAGAAGTAGCAGTGCACATACATAGGATGCTGACATGTTAACAAGAATTACTATACCCATAGGATTTTTCATCCAAATAGTAGTACAGTATTATGTCTTGGGAATTTAGCCAACTACCTTTTGCATCCATGATATACAACTTTCATCAGATGGGCATAAACAAAAGTGAACAGAAATCTTTTTGAATATCCATTGCTTTTCATTTTATGCATGCTATATCAGATACATACTTGATATTGCCTTATTAGCACAATATGAATGCAGAATGGAAAACAGCATTTATTTGAGTGGGTGCACTTCAGTTCATTAATTAATGACCAGCTAAAGTAACTCTGGATATTCAAGAAAAGGAATTTCGAAACTTGTGGTGCAGCCCTTCTGGTAGCATGGGTTGCCTTTGATACTTAAAGTCATCAGAGCTATATACTCACCAAGAAATATAATGCACAAAAAAATGCACAAAATGATGCTGAGTGATGTCAAATTTTGCTTGAGAAGTACCTGAATATTTATATTAATGGGAATATATATTGATTAAATTTCACAAGCTGCTTCCCCCATTCTCTCTCATGTCTAAACTTAGTGTTTTTATATGCATATTACATTGTACTAGAGAAAAAGATATAAGGCAATTATAATCATGTATATACAGTTGGTTTGTAGTTACTTTGATTTATTCTTGGGTTAATTAGCAAAGTCTTTACATTTAATACAAGTGTAAGGTTCCCAGTTTACAGGTGACAGCAATTTATTTTTCTTGCATTTCAGACCATCCCTTGGTCAGATCTTGATGGGCAAAAGTCCTGAACGCAGAAGCAGTCGATGCAGTCTCACTGAGGAGTTTAGTGGAGTAGAAATTATCCATGACCACTACTTGAGTCCTCTGACAGCTCCCAAGGAAATACTTGCAAAATTTCCACCTTGTGCAATTTTAGTGAGTGACACTTGTTAATTTTTAGACCCATTGTTTAGATTGCTAGTAATGTACTATCTTTGCTGAGATAATTTTGATATCTTCTAATGCTGTGACATAACCATTTTTTTTTTTTTCTTTTTTTGATAACCCCCCTTACACAATATTTCAGACTGTTGAATATGATTTCTGTCTGGATGATGATGTCACTATGGCCAAGACATTGAAATCCCTCAATGTCCCAGTCACCATTGACATTTTGGAGCGCCTTCCTCATGGCTTCCTCAGCCTCTCCATGGTATCTCAGGAGGCGCACGTTGGTTGCAAGAGGGCTATTTATCGCATCCAAGAACTGCTTGGGTTGACGGAAGATACTCAAGTCAAAGAAAATGATAAAAGTTAGATATTAACTCTACAGTTAAGATGTAAGATGAGTGAGACCTTCTCATACTTTCCCTGTTATATATTAATTTATTGTAAACCTGTACTATGCATTTTGCAGCGTTTGAAATAGCATAATAAGATGTACAGTTTATTTTCTCACAGAAAATTGGTAATCTCATCATCCAATCATAAGAATATTTTTGTGGATAACTGACCTTTGGGTTGTACTTCGTTTTGTTGAATTGAAGGATCTAATACCAAGTTACAACTACACCATATCAAATACCACACAAATATGAGAAAAAAGAAAATAAGGCTATTTTATTGACCAAGCGTGCAATCTATTTAAGATACCGATACGTGTGAATTCTATTATTATTAGGGAAATAATTGATGTACAGCAAATGGTTGTCTATGCTATGTACATTTGTCCTTTAGCACAGTTTTTATAGATAAAAAGATTAACAGAAGAATAATATCCGATTTCAGCATGGGTCATAGCTGACAGAGTAACACGTATGCATCACTACCTTGTTAACCCTTAAATGACAGAGCTTAAAACAGCAGTGCAGTGTTCTTTGTGGGTAAGATTTGCTTTTTGGTTGTAGTGAGGTTATTGTTTTGGAAAATATCAAACAGTTCTTGTGAGGAAGGATAGTGTGTATAGATATTTCAAAATAGAACTTTAAGTTCATGCTAAATTTACAAAAGTAAAGTATTTTGGGATTAAGTGGGAGATCTTCTATTGATAACCTGTGATCTTGTCCACCATACAAAAATCTGAGACTTCCCACTAGATTTTAAAATTTTAAGGTCATCTTATTTCAAAATATTGCACTTAATTAATACTACAGTCAGTAGACACTTCTTTGATGTGTAATTTGCTCCATGCTTTCTAGTTCAGATAAAGATCATGTAAAAGAAAATCTTCATTATCTGTGGATATTTTTACTGAAGGGAATTGCTTGGTGTTCAGACTAAGTAGCTGTTAATTAAGGGTTAAGGGCCGTTTAAAAAGAGCTGAAAGTTACTCTTATTAATAAGATGATACCAGTAAGTATTATTACTCTGTATCCAATGATTAAAAAACAGATACATTTTCTTTTTTATGAGTTGAATCTGTGATATTTACAATTACAGAATGTAAGTGTTCATTTATCAGTAGTGAGTGAACTGCTGCTATTAGGGAAGTGTTTAAAAAATAGTATATTTTAACAGTCTACCTTGACAGTAGAAGTCTTGCATGAAAAAGTTTGTTTAGAAAAGTGTCCCAAAAGCCTTTCTTCAAGTATATAGCTTTTGAATAACATGTTTTTCCAAACTCATTATGATTTCTGTTGACCACTTACATCATTTAACTTATATGTCTCATATTATTGCTGGAAAAAATACTGTGTGGCTTTTTAAGAGATGATGTTACTGTAGAATTCATTGTAATGTTTTCTCTAAACTGCATTGTGCAAGACTGACCTCATTAATTGTGACTGGTTTATTTGATCTAAGACTTTGCCTGCTCATCTGTAATTTTATAAGGAAATGAAGATTGTCCTGTTACTTACATAATGCAGGTATCTTTAGCTAATCCATTACGGTACTGGTAACTGGTAGATGAAATAATGTCTTCTTCAAATTCCTTGTATGTTGATTTTTCAGTTGATTATGTACTGTTATTTACAACTTCATCAAGTATCTGTTAGCAGGAATCTATTTAGGATACTCATAGATTTTGCAGTAACTCTCTGTTAGTAGTGTGCCATTGAAAACTTACTGAATGGCAGGTTTATATGAAAAGTGAATTAGCATGTTCAAATAAGTCCTTTAAGTTCACTCCTTTAAGTTGATAAAAAAAAAATGTAGTGACTATTAACCAGCTGCAGTTAATGAGTTTTTTGCTTAAAAAACTGAATATGGGTAAGTCTCTAACCAATGAAAATTTTATTAGTAAAACAATATAAAACAATGCATATATATTATAGTCTGTAAGTGTGGAAGTATTTTGTTTCTAATATTTCATCATAGAACATTGTTTAGATAATGCTGTAGTGTTTGAAGTGAAGGGAAAATTTTAGCTATATATATATGTGCGTGTGCTTGCGAGTGTGATGTCTATGTGCATGTGGGTGTGTGGGTGCGTGCATGCAAGAGTGGTGCATACTTGTGAGCCTGCATGCCTGCCTGTGTGTGTGTGTGTGTGTGTGTGTGTGTGTGTGTGTGTGTGTGTGTGTGTGTGTGTGTGTGTGTGTGTGTGTGTGTGTGTTGTGTGTGTGTGTGTGTGTGTGTGTGTGTGTGTGTGCTGTGTGTGTGTGTGCTGTGTGTGTGAGAGAGTGTGTGTGTGTGAGAGAGTGTGTGTGTGTGTGTGTGTGTGTGTGTGTGTGTGTGTGTGAGTGTGTGTGTGTGTGTGTGAGTGTGTGTGTGTGATGTGTGTGTGTGTGTGTGTGTGTGTGTGTGTGTGTGTGTGTGTGTTGTGTGTGTGTGTGTGTGTGTGTGGTGTGTGTGTGTGTGTGTGTGTGTGTGTGTGTGTGTGTGTGTGTGTGTGTGTGTGTGTGTGTGTGTGTGTGTGTGTGTGCGTGTGAATGTGTGAGTGTGTGTGTATGTGTGTGTATGTGTGGGTGTGGGTGTGGGTGTAAGTGTGAGTGAGTGAGTGAGTAAGTGAGTGTAAGTGTAAGTGTGTGTATCAGGTTATTTTTGCTATGATATTACTTTTTATAAAGGAAAGGATTTTTAAAAGTAAGGTTATTACTAAGTTACTATTTGAAGAAGCTTTTGAGTTCAGGGAACTGAAGTACAAAAGGTTTATTTACGAAATAGTTTTATAGATTTGAATTATATTGTTTCCTCTCAACCGGTTTATAACTTTAAGGGAAATATTTGTTTTAGGTAGCCAATTTATTTTCTTTGCAACCTCTACTTTTTTTTTTTTTTTTTTTTTTTTTTTTTTTTTTTTTTTTTTTACTTATCATTATCCATATATTTCTTATGTAATCTTTAGCCATTTATGCCTATCTTAGTTATCCTTTTTCCTAATCCCAATTCACCCTCAATCATAGATGCTAGTTAATAACTGTGAGTGTATTCATCTATAAAATCTATAAGACTTTGTGTCAGTAATTTTAGGCATAAGGAGCTTTAAGTGTTCTTGAGTCAGGTGACTTGCAAGCAGTCTGAAACATTTAACGTATAAGTAAATTCTAAGTTAGTGGGAGTTTTAGGAAAGCCTCCTTGAAAAAAAAAGACTATTTGAAACATTGCAAATCTGTAAAGTATTTTCACAGTGCGTTAAAAAAAAAATGATTGAGACTAATTATTGAAAGAGAGAATAAGGCTGCTTATTCATAAATGAAAAAATGTGTTTGATTTGTAGAATAATAATATAAATATACCAGGCAGCCTGTTATTATCTCTGTTTCGTACTTTAGATTAGAGGTAAACTATGATACAGACAATGGACCTTATATATTAATTATGAAATATAATTAAGCAAAAAAGGAAGTAGGAACCACAGAATATATTACTTGAATTAATTTAGCATTACATAAATATGGACTTGTTTTTCTTGATTTTAATGTTAATGTTAGACAAGTGTATCAGATGAATTAAAATTAGTGTCACATTATACCACACTATTCTCAAAGCTCCCTGATAATACTATTATAGTGTGTCCTGACAGAATGACCCAGATCAAAATGAATATAGAATAAGGAAATTGGAGTTATTACCTAATGAATAGCAGCTTTTGAGTAAGATAACTGATGTTAAAAATGAGCAGGGAAGATGAAAGTTTTATGCAAGAATATTAAAATTCTAGATAGTTTAGTATTCATTTCATTATGTGATACTTTCATCAGTCCTCTTATCTATTATGATTCTCTTTTGTAAGATTGTTTTGATAACGAGATATAAAATTAATGGTCTGTCATTCCAACATTCCAACACATATTTGCATTTATGCGTTGTACACAAATAATTATTTTACAAGCGCTATGATTTGTTTCACAGGACATCTTGGCTATGTGATGATGGACTTGGGACTTAGGAGTACTTTGTACTAAGGGCCTTAACCTGGCAGCTGCTGTGTGTGTGCTTGTGAAGATTTTTTAAATGATAGATTGCATATTGAAGGAAAGAAGGTGTGTATCTTAGACCTCTTTGCCAAGTCATGAAGTGAAAGCCTCACATCGTGTACCTTATGCATGAAAAGGAAAGGTGCAGTTGCTGAGTCAAGATCCTTTGAATTTCTCATGAGATTCCTGTGATTTTATCGTGTTGTAATATTTCTTTGATTTGTCACTGTCCACTTCTGTCTTCTGAACAGATTAACTTTGTAGCTTTTTGTACACATATATGATAGCATGAATATGCATACATACGCATGTTGCATACATAGACAACATACGTATAATCATAGGCTGCATATATATGGGTTGCATAAATATCTACATGGGCTACTTCCATGCATACATTCATTCATTCATCCATGCATACATTCATACATACATACATACATACATGCATATAAATGTATAATTACATATAGTATGAACAAACATACATGCATACAGTACCCACATGCATACAGTACTCACATGCATACAGTACCCACATGCATACTCCTATGTGCATACAATACATAGATAAATGCATACATATACACATACATGCATACATATTTAAACAAGATGGGAGATGGTCTTAGAGTGGGTAATGAAATGCTGTGGATTTATTTTGGAATGTAGATGCGAGACCCCTATCTCCCCAGTGCCGTGGACATGGTGGTGACGAACTTAGACCCTGCATGTCTTTGTCTGTCTGTCTTGTTTCTCCCCTCCTTTTAACAAGACATCTCCTTTTATACAGCAGTTCCCTTCAAGGCAGGTTTTTGCTTCCATCTGCTGGAGTGTCAGAATGAAAGACTTACACAGCACCTGTGTCCACTCAACAAGGAACTTTTTACTGGAAGGCAGCTGCTTGAAACAGAGGTGTGAAGTGGTACTAACTGGCCTTGTTGGATACTGTTTACAAGATGGATACAGAAAATGTTAAAAAACAAATACATACATGTATACATACATACATACATACATACATACATAGGCCTATATACATGCATATATGTAGTGCTTACAAACTTGTATACAGTATGTACTTACATACATATATGCATGTTCACGCTTTGCTACAGCCCGTACCTCTGCTTTCCCCCACCTACCCTCCTGTCACCGACCTGCTTACATATACATACAGACAAAGAACAAATAAACATACATACATAATGCATGCATGCATGCATACATATTGGAGGCATTTAATATCATGAAACTTTATTTTATTTTCCATAGGATATTAGTAAATGACTGAATCTCTCTTTTTCTTAACCTTTCTTATATTTCTCTCTCTCTCTTTCTCTAATTCTTAATCTTTTATCTCTCTCTTTATATATTATCTAATTCTTCTCCAGTATTACACATTGATTCCTAGTGATAGTTTCCTCATGCAGTAATATAAAGCAGTGCTGCTTAGTATAGTGTATGGGTATATTAGAGTGCACAAGCTTTACTTCTAGTGATAGAGGTTGAAATTATGTCATCGGTTATGATACAAAAAAAGTGATATGGCTAACAGGATATTCTGAATGATGTGATATTCAAGGATTTTGTTGTATTACCTTATAATTAGTGCTGATGTAATTTTTAAAGTGTACTTTTCAGTGTTATTTTCTGTATAGTATTTTTCAGTACATCAGTAAATGAAATGTGGTAGTTTTAATAAAAGAAACTCGTCAGTGCTCATCAGTGAGCTTTTAGTAGTAAATGGCATTCATGATGATTTTTTTTTCTATTGAGATTCTTATTTCTAATAATATGGTTTAGTATTTGTTTGGATAAATGATACCATGCC